TCGGATGAGAGACAAAACGTTTCTACATTTTTTTGTTGATTTGCTTTGGTTTTTTTTTTGTTTTTTTTTGAATGTCCAGAGGACCAGATTTAACTTTTTTAGATTTTTCTACCTGGATTATTGAGCATGCATCAGGATATTCTAAACATTTCCATTTTGATTAATAGAAATTTGCTTCCTTTTTGAAGAGATGCATTTATTATGTTTGACACTTTTATAAAAAGAAAAACAATTGCCACCCTCCACTGATGCTACATCATCCCTCTGAAATGTGTCTGAAATACTTTTTTGGGGGTGTTTGTTTCTCTTACAGGTTGTGATTGGAGATAAAGTTGTCCTTAACCCTGTAAATGCAGGGCAGCCTCTTCATGCCAGCAGCCACCAGCTAGTCGACAACCCAGGATGTAATGAGGTACACATTGCTGTCCTGACAGGGTTCTAAAACTTTTTATGTTCTTTCTGTGGCCTGTTCCCTCCTCAGGGGTCACCACAGCGAGTCATCCTCCTCAGTTTCACTCTGTCATCTGTATCCTCTGTCCCAACACCAACTACCTCCTTGACCTCTCTAACTGCATCCTTCTACCAGTATATCCTGTCCTTCCTCTTGACATGTCCAAACCATCTCAGTCTGGTCTCTCTAACTTTATCTCCCAGTTGTTCAACCTGTGCTGTACCTCTGATGATCTCATTCCTAATCTTATCCATCCTTGTCACTCCTCAGGAGCACATCAACATCTTCATTTCTGCTACTTCTTCTGCTACAGTTCTTTCTCCTGTCATTTTGTCAATGCCCCCGTGTCCAAACCTTACATCAAAGCTGGGCTCACTTGTCTCTTTACAGGGCTCTTAAATGAAGTAGTTTTAATAAAGTAAAATGTTAACACAAGTTCAAATGTTTGCTCAGCTTTTCTTTCTTTTAGGTTAATTCTGTAAACTGCAACACAAGCTGGAAAGTTGTTCTTTTCATGAAATGGAGTGACAACAAGGAAACGATCCTCAAAGGGGTTGGTGTCATAGCATTTTTACATGACTTACAGTGATCCAGTTTCACAAGCATTTGATTATACCTACATACTGAAATTGCTCAAATGTGCTATTTAAAATTTAAAATATGGCAAACTAAAAATATTGACCAGTGCAACACATTTTCTGCACTTGTGTGTATTGATTTGGTTGTGATTGCAGGGTGATGTCGTTCGGCTATTCCACGCAGAGCAGGAAAAGTTTCTTACTTGTGACGACCACCGGAAGAAGCAGTATGTTTTTCTCCGAACCACCGGCCGACAGTCTGCAACTTCTGCCACCAGCAGCAAAGCACTGTGGGAGGTGGAGGTACATGCTCTTCAAAGAAAATCCTAAACATATTTGTGTGTGTGTGTGTGTGTGTGTGGTGTTTTAAGTGAATGACAATGTTTTTTTTTTTCTTTCCAAAGCAGTGATGGAAAAGTGAGAAATTAATGTTTTTTTTTTAATGCTCACACAAGCTATGAATTTTGGCAACTTTTTTTTTTGTCATATTTTTGTCATTACCAGGTTGTGCATCATGACCCATGTAGAGGAGGAGCAGGCTACTGGAACAGCTTGTTCAGGTTTAAACATTTGGCCACAGGGTGCTATTTAGCTGCAGAGGTGGGTGAGGTGGGTGTCAAATACATGTACAACAATCACTTTCTACACACAAAAATTAATTTGCTACAACGTTTTTGTTTAATTACTTGGACTATAGATACTATGTGCAATAGATTAATAGTAATGCTCAGTAAATGAGACGGCAGTTTGAATGAATTGATTCTGAGGATGAAGATTTTGTCTTTGTTAGGTGAATCCAGACTTTGAGGAGGAAAGTGCTGAGCAGCGTTCCTCTGTAAGTTTACTTAATGTCCTACTCTGTCATTTGTTTGTAATATAATACAGAGCTCTGTTCTACCTGTGAATTTATTCATTAAAATGTTATTTTGTTCTTTTGTGTTCTGATCTAGGAGGTGGACTTCACGCCCTTTAATTTCCAGGTACAGTGATTAAATTTCTTATTAGCCTCAAATACCTGCCTGATATTACAGCTACTACTTTGAAATGGGTAAAGTATTTTTTGCTGTCAGTTTTCTATGTGCTCTTTATGATCAAAACTTTTTTCTTTTTTTCTAGCTGTCAGATTTATTTGAGTTAGTTGCACCAAATTACCATGAGGTGTCACTGTGCTATAATCTTCATTGATTGGATTAATTTAGACGCAAATTAAGACACAAGTCTGATTTAGATGTTTTTCCTCCAACTTCTATTTGGATTAAAACTTTATTTTAAACAGATGCATGCATGCATGGATGGATGGATGGATGGATGCATGCATGCATGCTTTATTGTCCCCAAGGGGATATTTGTCTTGGACACGGTGCGCTAAACAAAGCTTCTTCCACAATCAAATACACTATAAACAATAAACTCATGTGGACACCACAATTAAAAAAAACAAAAACATCTATTGCTCAATAAAAACACATATAGCATATTCCCACATACATTCCAGCAAGTAAACAAAACAATAAATCAGTCCAGAGCATCAGAAGCATGACAAGACTATATGCCTACTTTATTTAACAATCTGATTGATGTAGGGACAAATTAATTTTTTAATCTGTTAAGTCTACAAGCTGGGATTCTAAACCGTTTGCCAGTTGGCAACAGTTCGCATTGTGAGTTGAGGATGTGAGCGGGGTCAGGCTGTACCCTCCGAGCACGTCCGAGGACAGACTCATCATAGATAGACTGCAGGGAGGGGTGATCAGTCCTTCCTTTCACCTTCATTGCAGTTTGTACCATGCGACTAAGTTTAGATTTAAATTGCACAGAGAGATTACCATACCACGCTGAAAATAAAAATTCACTTCACTGGCATACAGGTCAAAATAAAAGCATACCTTTTTAGCCTTTAATAATAAAAGCTGCTGGTGTGTTTTCTGTCTGCCTCTCTGCAGTTTCTCTGCTCCTTCACTGTACTTCTTCTCTTTTAGCTGGACGCAGATAACGAGGCTCTTCGAGGCCGTCTCCGAGCTCCACAGGAGAAAATCATGTACACGCTGGTCCCTGTCCCCGACGGGATGGATATCTCCTCCATCTTTGAGCTGGACCCCACCACTCTGAGAGGAGGCGATTCCATGGTGCCCAGGTATGACTCTTGCACGCGCCCTCATGTGCATTTACATCCACACCACAGATACTTTGAGGTTGAGCTCTGAAATAAATTACAAATTCACAATTATCATAAAATGCTCATGGGTGGTACAGTGGATCAGTTGGTAGAACTGTTGCCTCTCAGCAAGAAGGTTACTGGACCAAATCCCAGTTGGGGACCTTTCTGGGTGGAGTTTGCATGTTCTCTCTGTGCATGTGTGGGTTTTCTCCGTGCACTCTGGTTTCCTCCCACAGATCAAAAACATGCATGCTAGGCTGATTGGTTACTCTTAAATTGTCTCTAGGTGTGCGTGAGAGAGTGAATGGTTGTCTCGTTTGTCTCTGTGTCTCTGTGATGGACTGGAGACCTGTCCAGGTGTCCTCTGCCTCTTGCACAGTGACAACTGAACATGGGCACCAGTGACCCCCCCACGACCCGAAAAGGAAGAAACAGGTAAATATAATGGATGGATGGATGAAACGCTTTTCTATAAAATCTTTGATAATTGTGATAATTAGTAGAAGTTAGATTAAAAACTAAGAGGAAACTAAGGAAACGATTCAGACATGCATCAGGTTGCAGCTGATGTTACAGATGATTTCAAAGCTGTGGCCTTCCCTTTTAATGGAAGAAAACAACATCAGGGATGCTTTAAAGCAAGGCAAAGAGGGTGGGGGACTTTTTAACAAATGACAAATATCTTAACACACCATCAACCTATCAACAAAAAGACCACAATGATGTCAAGGCAGCAGTGTTTCAGAACAGGACTGCAGTAGCCTTTTGACTCATGTGTTTGGTTGAGGGGAATTTTATCACCAGTAGAGATTAGTTTCTAAATGTATAGAGGAGGATCAGTTTGTGATGAGCTTGTTGTTTTGTTTGTATCACCAGCTGTTTTATTACTGCCTTTCTTTGACTCCTTTTTATTTTTATAAAAGGTTTTTTTTTTGTTTTTTTTTGCTTCAAACACAAAATAATGGTGAAGACATCTGGAAAAGTGTAATGATTAATATCTACAAAGCATTTTACTTATTTTTACTTTACAGATAAATTGTTGATGCACACTGATTTTTGCTCTGTCAGATGATTGTCAAGAAGAGCTAAGAAAGTTAGTTGGGTGTGAAACTAGGCTGTCACGATAACAAATTTTGTTGGGCGATTAATTTTCTCAGAAATTATTGCGATAAACGATAATATTGTTTGAAATTTGACAATAATTCGTGATTATTGTCAAATTTAAGAAGAAATGTTGGTTAATTTTTGTGTCTCCTAGACTTTAAGCATGGCAGAACTGTTACACAAAGGTAAGCCTGTTGGCCTCAGTAGTTGGTTACAAAATGCTTGCCAAGAATCTGACTACTATCTTCTGTCATTGCCTAAGGCCAGACGAGCGACACAGACGCTTACAGTAGTCATGGGGACACGTGGTGTTGACTGGATGCTACACCATATGTATTCAGCTCAGCCTTTACTGTGTGTGATGGTTTATTCTTAACGCAGGACTGATGAAACTGATATTGATGTGTAATTATGCAGGTCAATGCAGACAAAGCGGTAGCAATACAACAGATGACTGAGGTGGCCATAAATGACAGGTTTCCTTCCCAAACGGTTCACTTACCTACTTTGTTCATGTGTACCTCTTTGGCAAACACAGTGACATAAAGGAGCTGTACCATTATTGCAGCACAATGTGCTATAAATCTAGACTTGGTGATTAACCAACCTTTCTGTTTTAGTTGGCTCTTTTTCAAAAATGTGCTTTTTAATAAATAATTTTGTCCACTTTATTGTGCCAAGAGTTGAAGTTGTCGGGTATTATATAGCTCTAGGTGAAGGCATGTGACATTCAGTTTCACTTTTTAGTAGAATTTGTGACCCATTTTATTTCCCCTCACCTACCTCCAGGAGCTCCTACGTCAGGTTAAGGCACTTGTGCACCAACACATGGGTTCATAGTACCATCATCCCTATTGACAAAGAGGAGGAGAAACCCGTCATGTTACAGGTGAGTAGCTGTACGAATCACTCAAATGACAAAACAAATGTTCACATCTTTATAAGTTGGTATTTTGTTTTCCAGATTGGAACATCAGCTGTAAAAGAAGACAAGGAAGCATTTGCTATAGTCCCAGTACCACCTTCAGAAGTACGAGATTTAGACTTTGCCAATGATGCAAGTAAAGTGTTGGCTTCTATTGCTGGCAAACTAGAAAAGGGAACCATTACACAAAATGAACGGAGGTATGCTCGGAAATCAACAAGAGTGTCTACATATCTAGTATTTCTGTATAAAACTATCTAATATTACAACAAATTTGTTTGTAAATATTTCATAGATATGGAATAAACGTTTCACATAAATAATTTTCCAACAAGTTGTTTAAAATGTGTGCCTGATATGTATTAATTCCAGGTTCGTAACAAAGCTCCTGGAAGATTTGGTTTTCTTTGTGGTAGACATTCCCAACAGTGGGCAGGATGTTTTAGAGATCATGGTTAACAAACCCAACAGAGAAAGACAGAAACTCATGAGGGAGCAGAATATTCTTAAACAGGTAGGCCTGAAATCTTAGAGACTGACTGAGGCCAGCCATAAAGTGTCTGTTTTTACCAAAGCTGTTAAAATGACTTTTTTTTTTTTTTTGTCTTTACAGATTTTTAAACTTCTCCAAGCCCCTTTCACAGACAGCGGGGATGGTCCCATGCTGAGACTGGAGGAGCTCGGCGATCAGCGTCACGCACCATTCAGACATATCTGCAGGCTTTGCTACAGAGTCCTTCGCCATTCCCAGCAGGATTACAGGAAGAACCAGGTGGGCTACGCACTACAGCACTACTCTCTCCTTTAACTGTGCAGCCGTTCCTTCCACAGTAATTGTTCATCTTTTGTACGTTTCCACAGGAATATATAGCCAAGCAGTTCCGTTTCATGCAGAAACAGATTGGCTATGATGTGCTGGCAGAAGACACAATAACGGCTCTTCTCCACAACAACAGGAAGTTGCTAGAAAAACACATCACTGCTGCTGAGATAGACACATTTGTTACTCTAGTGAGGAAGAACCGGGAGCCCAGGTAGGCAAAGGAAGAAGGTGTTGCTGTGTCCAGTTTGAGTCAAATTTGTGTAAAAGATGTAAATCTGTGTGAATGTAGTTAAATCTATGAAGAAGTAAAACTTCTTGTGTGTGGCTTTATTTGTGATAACTTGATTACAACTAGTCTGCACTTGCACCTTTTTATTGATGAAATTTAAGCCTTTCTGGTCTGTTTTTAAGAGGTTTCTACAGTTTGAAATACACAAAGTGCACACTAGTCTTAGGAAATAAGTGTTATAAAAACAATCCTCAAACATTTTTTGCATGTAGTGTGTAGTGTTATCTCTATGACTGAAACGTCAGCCAGAATGTGGATCGTCTTTGCAGGGATAAGTCCTTTAGGCACATCTAAAAAAATCATTGACTTCTCATTCCATGATGGTTTTGGGCGTGCACCAAACTTCAGTTACAAGTTGTGGTGGTTTATTGTCAAGGTAGAAGCATGAAGTGTGGGGCAGATCATAGTATGATGTAGGGACAACAACACACTGGTGTGGCTTGGTCATCAGAATCTGAAGTGGCCATGCTGGCTTCATACCTAGGCTACAACCCCATTATGGCCACGCCTCTTCAAAGAAGTTGTTACAAAGCCCCGCCCCTCACTGCATCTGCTCCGTTTAATCCATACTATTCACGTACCATTAAACACAACACTATTCAAGTTAGTGTTCATGTGCCTTTTTGACACAAAGCAAAAAGCACGTTTTATTTATGATCAGACCTGCTTCAGCCTTTACTGAATATCTTCAAATCTAATGACACAATGTAATTTAAAATTCAAATCTATTCAAATAATAGTTTACAACCAAAACAATATTTTAATATGTGGTTTCTATGTTTTATACAAGCATCATCTATTTCACAACCCCCTCACGATGAAGAGTTTGTTCGTGGTTCATCCATATTTTAGACGGGGTGATTACACCTGCGTTTCTTGTAATTATTATTTCAGCATGTCTGCCCAGTTTAGTTTTAAATATGTTTTTCTTTTTCAAGTAAGAGACCTGCAGGTAAGACTGGAGAAGTTTGAGAAGAATCTCTTGTTGCTGCAGCAGCAGCAGAGTGATGCTGTCTCAGATTCAGGTTGATGTAGGAGGCATCTTTATCCATCTAGTCTGGTTAGATGTTCTAAAATGTTCTTGTTTTAAAGGAAAAGTCCCCAGATACTAACAAGTTTATGTGAATAACCTAGCACAAGAGTGACATTTGTGGTGACAGTGCTGGACTGGCATGATTTTCTAGCTTGAAGCTGCATCCTGACATGGTTGGAGAGAGTTGCACCTGTGGTGTCATGTGATCATGAGTGTTTGGTAGGATCAACATGTTACTGATGTATGGAGCTTGGTTCGTGCACAGGGCAGCATCTCTTTGATGCGGAAGATAGTAGGAATAACCTTTTTTTTTTTTTTTTGGTAAGTACCGAGTGTAGCAGTGTCAGTATTTCCTTTACGCTGAAAAACATTTTCCAAATTAGCCACAGTCCTTTCTGACTGGTTATGTGGGTCACGGAGAGCGTGTTGGAGTCAACATCTTGTGTGAGGGTGGCCCAATGATTTACTTGCACACCTAACAATGCTGCCACCCATACAAATTAAATACATTTTTCTTTCTTAACCTGTGTACAGATTTCTGGACTACCTGTCAGATCTGTGTGTGTCCATGAATAAATCCATCCCAGTGACACAGGAGCTCATCTGCAATGCAGTGTTGGACTCAAGCAATGCTGACATCCTCATCGAAACCAAGTGAGCTACTTATTTTAGTACATTAGCAAATTTTACTAACTAGACATGAGTACAATTTTTTTTTTGTATGTGCTGTTTACCAGATTGGTCCTGTCGAGGTTTGAGATCGAGGGGGCAGCAAACGGGGAGACCCCTGTAGAGGCAGAAGATGAAGAAGAGGTTTGGTTGTTCTGGAAAGACAACTGTAAGGAGATCCGCAGTAAGAGCGTCAGGGAGCTGGCACAGGATGCAAAGGAGGGTCAGAAGGAGGACCAAGAAGTGGTCAGCTATTACAGGTAATGCATTCTTGTTACTAATGAACATGTTCACTGAAACCGTTGTAGGATTGTGCTACAGGAACTGATCATTAACCTGTAATAATATATAAATTATTTTAACAAGCAGTGTGCTCTTATTCCCTCCTCGCTGATGGACTGGAATATTAAATGTTTGTAGTTTTTGAGATGAGTGTTTTACTGGACTGGACTGGACTGGAACAGGAAGTGTACGTAGAACTGTTTTTGGTGCAGAATATACAAGTGGGCAGGAGTTGCTGTGTAAAAGAAGAGGGGTAGTTTTTTCTAATTTCCTTGTTCGAGGTGATGCAGAGTGAAGGATCCTGTCAAATGAAGGGAGCAATTTTATCCACTACCAGGAGCATTGGCGGAGCCATGGGTTGTCCAATGGTGGCCTTGCCCACCATAGATTAATCTTCAGCCACCCCACTGGCCAACCCAATCATTTTAGGCAGCTACACTTTTAAACAATATTAAAACTAGAAAGCAAAGTTTCCTCAAATGAAAGCGGCGATTGGTTTACACATATATTTGGTTGTGGCCATCTTGGATTTTGACATGGCAACGCATTTTTCAAAAAGCACCTGTCTTGTGCTTATATGCAGCCACACACTGTAATAGAAGTTGGCCCGCTCCATATTTTTTAAGATCTCCACTTCACAAGGTTTACATATACATGGTGGTGGCCATTTTGGGTTTTAACATGGCAATCCAGTTTTCAAAAGGAGACTTTCACTATTCACAGTTCAAAGCCCTCAGCGACAGGAGACATACCACCTGAAATAACTAAAAATAAAAAATAATTTTATCCTTCTGTAATTTCTTGCAGGTGCCAGCTGAATCTCTTTGCACGGATGTGTTTGGATCGTCAGTACTTGGCCATCAACAAGATCTCTGGTCAGCTAGACGTGGATTTGATCCTGCACTGCATGTCTGACGAGGACCTGCCCTATGACTTGCGGGCATCTTTCTGCCGTCTGATGCTGCACATGCACGTGGACCGTGACCCTCAGGAGCAGGTCACACCAGTCAAATACGCTCGCCTGTGGTCTGAGATTCCCTCTAAAATCGCAATTGATGAGTGAGCAAATCTCATGAGTACTTTTAATTAGCTTGTATTTATAATTTCAAGAGTGTCATTGATGAAATTCTCAATTCTACAGCTATGACAATGATGCAACAACACGAGATGAGATCAAGGAGCGCTTCAGCCTCACCATGGATTTTGTGGAAAACTACCTGAGGGAAGTGGTGTCTCAGAATATTCCCTTCTCTGACAAAGAGAAAAACAAACTTACCTTTGAGGTAATTCCTCTGTGTGTGCTTCATGGACCGACAAAAGCTTGGATTAATAAATTGTATAGCACGCATTTTATTTTATTTTTTTGTTTGTAGGTAGTAAACCTGGCAAGAAACCTCATATATTTTGGTTTCTACAACTTCAGTGACTTGCTGCGCTTGACAAAAATCTTACTGAACATTTTAGACTGTGTGCATGTCAGCACTGTTTACCCCATAAACAAAATTGAGAAGGGGGATGAAAACAAAGGTAAACAATAGCTTCACTGAATATTCAGAAATATTTTTTTGTCAAGAAGGGGAAAAATAACAAAAATCAAGTGTGACCTGTTTTTTCCTCATCTCTTCCTCTTGAACGTTGCTGGCTCTTTGTCTGAATGTGTGATCCAGCTGGCAGTAATGTAATGAAGTCCATTCATGGAGTGGGGGAGCTGATGACACAGGTAGTGCTACGAGGAGGGGGTTTGCTTCCCTCCACACCAACTCATCAGCCTGAGGGAGACGTGGTGAAGACACAGACCGAACCCGAGAGAGAGGACATCATGGTCATGGACACAAAGCTCAAAATCATTGAGATACTGCAGGTGGGATGTAAAAAACCTCTTTAAGCCAAACTCAGAGTCTGTGCCATAACATTTGATTCATGTTTATTCCTACAGTTCATTCTGAATGTACGACTGGACTACAGGATTTCTTGCCTGCTCTGTATCTTTAAGCGGGAGTTTGATGAGAACAACCCACAAGGAGACAACCCTGCCAGTCAGAATGGAACCAACAACATTACAGCTCAGATGCCAGGTATAACATCTGCTTTAGGATCCACTCTTCTGTTCTATGAGTATGCTAAATCTGTGTTGTTTGATGTGTTTCCATCGTACTGCTTCACCTTTAGGGAATTTTGACTTTGAGAACATAGAGGAACAGGCGGAGGGAATCTTTGGTGGAAGGTAACTCATGGAATTAAAAACTTTTGAGTCCTGCTGTAACTGTAAGCAGGCAGCCTCTTGTAAAATTATTTTTATATTTTTGCATCAAAGTGAAGAAAACACTTCACTCGATCTGGATGACCATGGTGGTCGCACATTCCTAAGGGTTCTGCTGCACCTGACGATGCATGACTATCCTCCTCTTGTGTCTGGAGCCCTTCACCTGCTCTTCAGACACTTCAGCCAGAGGCAGGAAGTCCTCATGGCCTTTAAACAAGTAAAATCCCATCATTTCATTTTTCCCTATGGGCTGGACTTTCAAGATATGGTGGCTAAAATGATCTGGTCTTTAAATATTTTAGGTCCAGTTGCTGGTCACCAGTCAGGATGTTGAAAACTACAAGCAGATCAAGTCAGATCTAGACCAGTTGCGCTCTATTGTGGAGAAGTCTGAATTGTGGGTTTACAAGAGGCAGGGAGAGGATGTGATGGATGGAGATGGACCTTCAGAGTCTGACAACAAAAAGAAGGTACACTCCCAAAACTTGTTGCACAGTTTATCAAATATATCTAATATAAACAATAAGATTTAAAGAATGATATTAGGATTATTATTATTATTATTATTGCAACGACCTGCCCATTGTTTTTTAGGGAGATTCTTTTGGTTCGGACAAGAAGACCGAAAGCACCAGCTGTTACAATTACAGAGTTGTAAAAGAGGTATACACATTCATATTTTATTATTTGTGTTCATTTGGGTTTCTATTAAGATCTAAATCCTGCTCTTGTTGTGTGTTCAGATCCTTGTGCGCCTCAGTAAGCTGTGTGTCCAGGAGGGAAGCTCAGGAAAGAAGAGCAAGAAACAGCAGCAGAGGCTTCTGAGGAACATGGGAGCTCACAGCGTGGTGCTGGAACTCCTACAAATCCCCTACGAGAAGGTGGACAAAGTTTTGAACTGCACCCAAAATCATAAAGGAACTTAAAGATTGACATCGTTTTGAAATGTACGCAATACCTCAATAATTAAGTAATAAATACGTCTGTATTCTTTGCCACCAGGGTGAGGATGTTCTTATGCAGGAGATCATGAAACTGGCTCATGAATTCCTACAGAACTTCTGTGCAGGAAACCAGCAGAACCAGGCTCTCCTCCATAAACACATCAACTTGTTTCTGAACCCAGGAGTGAGTGCTGCAGTCTTTTAAAGAGTATGATTTCCCAAACAGGAAGTTTATTTGCTCCCTTCTTTCTGTTGTCGCAGATCCTGGAGGCGGTCACCATGCAGCACATCTTCATGAATAATTTCCAGCTGTGCAGTGAGATCAACGAGCGGGTGGTTCAGCACTTTGTCCACTGCACAGAGACGCATGGTCGACATGTCCAGTATCTCAAATTTCTGCAAACGATTGTTAAAGCTGAGAACAAGTTCATCAAAAAGTGCCAGGACATTGTCATGGCAGAGGTACAAGTATCATCTAATGTTTGTGCATATAGATGCTTAAAGCGCAGTAAAGAGATTTGGTTCAGTAATGTCTTTGTAACATTTCTCTGTTTAATTTGGATGAGGATCTATTAAAATATTTTAAATCCTCTCTGGCATCAGAGCAGCACCACTATTGTTCTTGTAAGATCTATAACAGTTTTTACTCAAGAAGTATTGTCAGTACAATTCCAGAAATGTCACTGCACATTACATGCATGATGTTTGGGTAGAAAAACAAGGCTCTGAAGAATCTCATCAAGAATACCAGTGATAGTGTCTGCATTGCAACAAGAGCCCTCACTCTGACTTTAAGACGAGATGTTTTTATTTACATCATTTTGTTCTCCTGCTCAGTTGGTGAACTCTGGTGAAGACGTCCTGGTCTTCTACAACGACCGAGCCTCCTTTCAGACCCTGGTCCAGATGATGCGTTCAGAGCGGGACCGCATGGATGAAAACAGTCCTCTCATGTATCACATCCACCTGGTGGAGCTCCTGGCCGTCTGCACGGAGGGCAAGAACGTCTACACCGAGATCAAGTGCAACTCCTTGTTACCCCTGGATGATATTGTGCGGGTGGTCACCCATGAAGACTGTATCCCAGAGGTAAAAATAAACAATAATTTTTACTTTATGTTCTCTTTTCCTTATGTTCTTGACCATCATTGAAGATGTCAAGGTCACAAACCACATTTCAGATGGTTTTAATATGCCTTTGGGACAAATGTCAGTGATATTTATATACAGTATACTGCATGTGAGTAATTAGCATGTATCTTTATAGAGACATTATTTTTGCAACTAATGTTTTATTTATTTAAGGCAGTAGTACTTGTCAGTAGTACTTGTCATGATATGCACACTTACAGAGGAACAAAAGTTCACAGACCCTACTGTGGCTCAACAAGACTAAAATAAAATGTGATATTTAACTGTAATCAAATAAATGCATCCAAAGATTAGCCCAGTTATTTTATCTTGCCTTAGTTAAAGAAAAAAGTTATTTTTGTGACATTTTGTCTAAAGATTACTCTTTTGGCCATGACCGCTTTTATTTTCAACAATCCAGCAGAACCTCTGAAAGCAATAACGGCAAACTACACCATCAGCTTCTGATTAATCAGAACTAGAAGTAAAACAAAATGTGCAGCCACTTTTAGATAAATAATAATAAAGTCCAAACTGTGCACAGAAACCCAACAGTTTCAGTTTATGAATGTTTACATTATCCCTGTATTATTGCCTTCATTGAATCTATTTTCTCTGTATTATCTTTAAAAAGAAAAAAATAGTTCAATCTGCGCAAAACACAAACACACATGTGGCAGAAATACCTGTATAAATACCTGTATAAATACTTGTATAAACAGCCTTTTATAAAATGAGGGCTGATCTCATTTTATCACAGTATTTGAGGCTTAGTAGGGATGCACGATATTGGATTTTTAGCAGATATGCCGATCTGTTAAAACTTATTTGGCCGATAACCGATATCAATACTAATTTTATTTTTATTTTTTTTAATTCCTAGACCTGCTTACAGAGACTACATAACTTTCTCTGCTGTGGAATTAAAATACTACATTATTCAGCATGGTCTTTGTCAGTTTGGTCTGCTACCAAATGCGGATGCCAAAAAGGGGTCTGAAAATGATGAAACACTTCAACTTGGATTATGTTTAATGTCAAATTTATTCATGACATGTACTCTCTCTAACACAATGACAACACTCGACCAATACAAATTTGTAAATTTTCACAAATCTAAACTCAACCTGTTCACAAGTGAAAAGCACATAAGTAGTAGTTCATTAATAGATATACTTGACAGTTTCTTAAATTAAAAAATAACTTAAAACAGAAGACTTTTGTATCGGTGAGTTTTTTTGATGGAATGGCCTATGTCTGATATTTAATACCGATACCATGCCGATAGTATTGTGCTTCCCTAAGGCTTAGTATGTTGATCTTCACTGACGCTGATTTTTTATTTTCTGTTCAGGATATTCTTTCATTTCAGGAAAAAATTACATGGTTTACAAATATTACTATGGTGTAATGTTTCAACTAGATCCTTTTCTAATTCGTCTGGTCAGATTTTAGACACAAACAGGTTTTTTTAATCTTTCTGAATCAGCGTTTTTTTCTTTCCAAATCTCAGTTGGTCCACGCTGAAACGTGGGCTCACATTGTGAGTGTAGTGGACTAGGCCTACGTCGAAACCCAGTCTAAGGTCAAAACTCTTGACCTTTAGAACCTTGTGGGACAGGAACTGTCATTTCATGTATTTGAATACATAAATACAGGTTCACCCATCCTGAGACTTTCTTTCTTGAAGATTCAAGTGAAAAGAACACTCTCTTTTTATTATCATTACTATCTTACAAATGTTGATAATCAAAGTGTCTTAGTTCAAACCATTTTAGATGTTGCAGTGAACTAATCAATTTTATTAACTGAGTAATGATTTTTATTCTCATGTTAAAAGCTGTTGCAGAGTAATTATGCATTTTTCTGATTTCTGCTTTTGAATGAGCAAGTGTGTGCGTTTACAAGGTTACAGTCAAACGAAAAACAAGTTGTTATGTTAAAACTGTCATGTTTTAGAATCCTCTCAGACGTAAATAGAGATGTTTTGCACCTGTTTCTTAAACACGCCACAACAAACCCTCTCGGTCTGTGAGAACATTTCTGAGCTGTCCCATAACAATTCTCGCTGTCTCTAACCTATTACGTCACAAAAACACACCCCTTCTGGTCGTTTCTGACCAATGAAAAATCCCAAAAAGTGAACCGGGAAAGAGTCTTTAAAATGTCAGTACTTCCTGGTCTACACAGACTCACACGGACTCACAGGTACCCAGAGTGACTTACGACTCACGGAGTTACAGAGTTCACGGAGTTGGAGAGTTGTCAGACTTCTAGAGTTCTGGAGTTCTGATGGAGTGCTGTTGGAGTTCCTGACATGACAACAAAGCTCTTCCGAGTTCCATGGGATTATAACATTTTCCACTGAGGTGAATGTGTGTCGAACAGAGCCTCGCCACTACTTCTGACGGGCTACAGCCATTCGAAGGAGACGCTGGACCGGTAGCGTTAACGGAACACCATATCTGCTGATTATCATCAGAAAGGTAATGGGTCAAGTTTCCTACCAAGCGTACCGAGGCGAGCTGGGCTTCTGATGGAGAGTGTCGGTTCTGGTGACCATTCAATTTCCCTCAAACCCCATCCTTTACTCCCTCTAAACTTCTTCCCATCTTTAAACTTTTCTATCAAGTAGAAATTCTTCCAGATATTTAGAAATGTCTGTGTAAAATGCTCACCCACATTCATGTGGGCAAAAGATCATAGTTGTACAGTTTTATAAATGTCTGTGGTGCAGCAACGGAAAAATCATGGCCGTATGATTTTTCCTGATTGATTGCTTGTTGTTATTTTCATAATTTGCCAAATTAATGTAAATGTTTGATGTTAAATTTGATTCTGTAAATAAATGACCGCATTCATTTTGATGGGTCAAATTTAAATGACGTCTCACGTTTGCATTTCCTTAAATTCAATGCACGTTTTATTCAGTCCAGAAAAATGAGGAATCCGCGTTAAATGATGAATACATCCCAGCATCTGTTCATCTACATGAGTAAACAGTGTTTGACATTTTCTAAAGACAAATCATCAGGGAATTATTGTCAGATGTCCTACACAGATTTACTCACCTTGACTATTATCAGTCTGACCATTCGTCCCTTGTTTTACCTCGGTGACACCTCCTCCAGCCAGTAATCGTTTCCTTCATGAAAAAGAGAAACTTCCTTTTCTGTTTGTCATCACTTCCATCCAGGTCACGGGTCGGCTGAACAGCAGGAAGTGAACTCACTGTCCTCACTACACAGCATGCGGTTCATTCATCTAATTTCCATTAAAACCCCAGTTTGTGTAACTCAAAATAAGTCAAAGTGTCAATGTTTAAACATTAGTTCTGTCTACAATGTTCTTAGGACCTAAAATAACATTGTAGTGGTCACTTGCCCACTTCTGACTGTAACATTAGGTGCTGCACCCCTCAGTTTGAAAACCACTGCTTTAAAGTAAAGACACTTGTAAGCACAATTCATTCAAAATATTTTACAATAGCTTGAGATTTTTCTATATTTTAAAAGGGTTGAAGATAAACATGGGCCAGAGATTGAACCTATAAATCCAACGATCAAACCGTATTTTTATTTTCATGAGAATAAAGATTGTAATTACTCACTGTCATGAAAACTGTTTGTACTGACTGTTTTTCTGTTATGTGGCCATGTTGACTGGTTTTGTTCTCAGTTTGCAATCACTTCTTTTTATTAACAGACAAACATTTAGCAGGTTATACGACCACATTCTGACCACGCTACTCATTCTGTTTGTCGGCCTGAACCAGATAATTTAAACGTGTCTGACGTTCATTTCCTCTTGAGCAACAATTCGTTTTCACAGATGGATAGAAAGGCGTAAGACGGCTTCTTTCTCTCTCCAACTGTATTGTATGTCCAACCTTCATTAATAAAGCCAAGTTTTGTTTCATGTTTGTTGGGTTTTACTCTCCTTGAAATCCTCTCATTCTCAAAGACAATCGTCTCAACTTACGACTCAGCAAATTTGTAGGTCTTTTTTATTTATTTTTTGGTTATTTAAGTCTTGGGTTTTTTTCTGTTAAAAGTTTGATTCTCATCAAAAGTCCTTTTTAGTTCTAACTGTCCGGTGAAGACTTCCAGGAATTTCTCATCAGGATACCTGGATGTGTTGAGGACACTGGCAGAAAGTCCTTATACTGTAGTTCAGTCCGTAGGCGTGTCAGACCTTAAGCAACGCTGTGAATTGAACAGCTCTTTATGCTTGATGCGTTGGTGGACTCTAAACTTTCCAGGCTATGTTAGTAACAGAACCTTTTTGAGTTCAGTACTTCTTAAACAGTTGCTGCTGAAAGTATGAGAGTACTGTTATGCTTTATATGTTAGCTAAACATGTCAGTGGCTTTTAAATTGATTTAGTTTTTTTTTTAATGTCTTACTATTTTAGAACAGCATGGGGCAGAAATGTTATAAAACTGTTCTAAGTGTCGTTTGTCTCTAATAAACATTTGTATTTATTTTTATTCAGTTAGATTTTCTGTTTGCCTTACCAGGTGAAGATTGCCTATATCAACTTCCTTAATCACTGTTATGTGGACACAGAGGTGGAGATGAAGGAGATCTATACATCCAACCACATGTGGAAGCTATTTGAGAACTTCCTGGTGGACATTTGTAGGGTAAGCCAAAATATATTTATCTTCTGCTGCCCAAAAGCAAAGGTGAATAGTTGTGTTTAACCTTTTCATATGTGTTCACTTGTCTGTATCGTTGTATTGTAAGCAACTGTTTCATGAAACATTTAATTGATTTGAATGAAAATCTCAGAAGGGAATCATGCATCTACAACTGACTTGACTTTTGAATTGGGCTCAATCAAATTTAAGATGGCCGCCACAGCTAGGTGACCTTAGCCAACACAAAAATGGCTATACTTCAGTTAATTTATTCAATATTGAGCTAAAATCTTATGTGGTAGGTGCTCAAAGTCTTAAACTACACATACCATGCAACCTTCTCAGTAACTTTTTGAGTAGGAGGCTAACGGCTAACGGTAGGAGGCTGGAATCATTTCCAACATCGACACAGATGTTCTGTTTGGTGGAAATGTTCGTGAACGCAGACTGTTTAAACTCTGATCACTGAGGGAAATGTCTCACCTGCATCACAGGCATGAAAAGAGTTATGAAGTCATAATCAGCAGCAGCTGTCAATCAATTTTGTAGAGATAACATGCAATTTCAAGAATCTAATAAAGAATTCACAATACATTTGTCTTTATTCTTTATCTTGCAGCAGTCCCAGCTGAATGCATGCAGCTCATAAACTTCACTTTGTTTTCTGTAACTACAGACACGATCATCAAGATCAAAAACATTATATTGTGAACATTTGAATAAGACTGTTTTAACTTTTAACTTTGACTCATCATGTTCCTCAGGGGGAAAATCAACCACCTTATTTAACTGACTAAAAATACTAGTTTTAAATATTTTAGTATTTTAGAGCTGTCTCAGCCTGAAATGAAAAATATCTAATTTAAATGATTTTTAAAAATGCTTTAAGATTTTTTTTTTTTTTTTTTAAACCCTACACTACAGTTTATTATTTATTTATTGACATGAGATTTATTTTAGGTAATTAAAAAGGTGTAATTCCTCCATTAGTACGTCAATGTCCACATCCTCCTCTGTTCTCCAAAACTCAGAACTGATGCTTGGTTCATTTTGGCCCCGTCAGAGTGATTCTGGACCACCTCCTCTGTAGAGTCAGACCTCCTAGTGGGGCTCGGTCCACTCTTCCTGTTTTAAAACAAATCATGATCACCCTCTTCATCAGCACAGTCCTCATTGTCTGACGCAAACTGTTCTCCTTCATGATCCTGTCCTCCGCCTGAAAGGTTCTGAATCTGCGGTTCCATCCTCCTCACATTCAAAAATCGTCTCGTCGTTTTGACTCAAAACACACTAAAACTGACTAAACACACTAAACTACACTAACTATAAAACTTAAAACACGCTAAATATCACAAATATCACAAATCTCTCAAACCTCGTGACTCACTCCTGCTCTCGCTGTCAATATTGCCAAACTCCTTTCAACTTTTGCATCTTTTTCTTCTTCCTGTAGATTTTTTTGTCTCTTGTCAAATAACTTGGAGCCTTGGTTAAGACAGAGTGGGGAGGTTGTTTGTTCGATGGGGGTGGGAGGTGAAAGCAGAGGGTGATGGGGGTGTTTTGTCCCTTCTTTGCTGCAGCCTCTCGCTCTAACGCGCTTCAGATATGATGATGATTTTCAAAAAAGGATGTGGCGTGGATTATTGATCATAACTCTGATTTTACTTGGACTATCAACACAATTTAAAAAACACTGTAGTTCAATTTAAAGTCTTTACTTTAGACTCAAATTAAAATGAGTCTCTGAGAGATTGTCTTTCTTGCTAGAGCAACTGAAATTGGTCATGTGACTATCATGCACCGGCACGTTGATTAACTTCAAAGAAGCAAAGTAATCAATCAGAGTAGGTGGCGCCAGACACTTGAGTAGGTGGTGAAATCACTGCCTGTTTGTGAAGGCAGACTATGAGAGTGACTTCTCTTGTTATCACATTTGTTTTGTATAATGTTATTTTGCTTTGCTTTGCATTTGCTTTCCTTTAAGGAATTCTAGGCCTGAGGTGTCCAATATTGGTCCTTCTGGGCCACTATCCTCCATGTTTTACTTATTTCTCTGCTCCAACACAACAGATTTGAAATTATGAATGAACAGACTTCTGCAGAACAAAAATAGGTAATTTAACCATTGAATCAGGTGTGTTATAGCAGAGAACCCCACTAAATCATGGGGGAGTGGTGGCGCAGAGGTTAGAAGATGGGCTTGTGATCGGAAAGTCGCAAGTTCACCTCCCGGTACCATCAACAGGTACCATCAACATCAAAATGTGGGTGGAAACGGTGAAACACCCACACCTCCCTCCACCCTCATTCGTCCCACTCTGAGCCCCTGAGCAAGGCCCTTAATCCCCACCATCTGCTCTCTAAACAGGTCTCTTGAAAATTAGTTCTCGTGGCTCAATGAGACTACCTGGATAAATAAAGGGTAAATGAAAAAAAAAACATTATGCAGCATAGTGATCCTCAAAGACCAAGACTGGACACTCCTGTTTTAGGACTTTTCCCCATCGCAGGGCGAAGAGGAAATACTCTTCGTCTGTCAGTCTGCATGTTGTGTGCATGAAAACTTGAAAAATTAGTTTGGTACCAATTTCTATTTCAGCGCGTGGCTACATCTAGATGTAAGAAAGTTCACCATCGAAAATTGGGCTGCTACATCAATGTACAAGATGACTGCCATTATATATTTATATTTTTAAATTTTTGATCTGAGTAACTTAAAAAATAAGCAACATGCCAACTTCCATTTTGGTGTGTGGTTGCATCTTGGCGTGAGACAGGTCAGAGTCAGTCAGAGTCAGAGTTTCTTTGACATTCGCACTTCATGTGGTACATGTGGTGGAGCGAAATTATGTACACAGGGTCCCAGTTACATCCAACAATAAAATGTAAAAGAAAAACGGTAATAACATCTAAGATATGAATTGAGAAAAACATCAACTAAATATACACTAAACACTCGTAACATAAAACATTACGTTGAACATCAGCACAAACATGAACATGAGTCCGTGTGAGCAGATGAGCACACATGAACATATCAACATTGAAACAGATCAGCAGCAACATGACACAGATCAGCAGCAACATGAAACAGATCAGCAGCAACATGATGTGATTTTTTACACAGTGATTATTCTGGTTAGAGATTCATGAGTCTAACAGCCTCAGGGTATAAGCTGTTCCTCAGTCTAGTGGTTCTACACTTAATGCTTCTCAACCTCCTTCCTGAGGAGAGTGGGACAAAAAGTGTGTGCTCCACTTACCAGGATCAATCAGTCTGTGCTGTCTGGGACAAGCAAAAAAAAAAAAAAGGGAGGAAAGAAAACTTCTTCCATACTTACACTCTGTAACTCCTACATAATTGAATATCTTGCACCAAAATATTAAGGCATTTCCTGCTCAATTCCAGTCTAGAAAAACACATCTTGACAATTTTGAACATTCTTTATTCAAGTCCCTCAGCCAAAAGGAACATCAGTGTATAGCTTGTATACACTGTGATCAATAGATAGAAAATGCTATTTTTTTTTAATATACAGTATATATATATATATATATATATATATATATATATATATGATGGTGTGTGAGAGTGATTTTTGGCTGCAAAGGAAGTAGTGAACCTATGTTACCTGTCTTTTATATCCAGGCAGTGCCATGAAGTGGCTTTGCCTTACGCAATTGCCGTCTCTGTCCTTTTGTAGGTGTGCAACAACACAAGTGACAGGAAGCATGCAGATACCATGTTGGAGCGTTATGTAACCGAGACAGTCATGAGCATTGTCACATGTTTCTTCAGCTCTCCCTTTTCTGACCAGAGCACAAGCTTGCAGGTAAGTGTGGACTGGCTCGTACATGCGTTTTCCTGAAGAAAACAGTTTTTTAAAGAGACAACCCACCTCACACAAATTATGCTTATATAATGACATTTGTCCCTTTACACAGATGGCTCGTCATATGTATGTAAGTGATAACTCCCCTCCCTCAACCCCTTCCACATACACAAAATAAAAAAGTCTCTTCAACCTTTTGATGTGCTCCGCATCATCTAGCTCTGAATGTTAAGACATTTTTATTGTGTTTCTGCTGCTTTGTTAGCGCATCTTCCTAGAGCTGTGGGCGTGTTGCACAAGGTTTTGCTGGGATGTGGTGCACATGATTCATTGATGCATCATTGGCTCACGTCAAACTTTTGACCTTCTGGTAGCCATGTCTGGTTCCCCTTGACTTTTCCGATAAAGTATGATCACTATCCTCTGTAGACTTCTAAATCCCTTGAGCAAAAACATTGTGGTTGTACATTAATTATATTTATCTGCTCAATACCAGATGGCCTGTTTTGTGATGCTTAAAATTAGTTTAATAGAAAATGTGGGTTTACCTCCATGGATTGTGGCTTTTCCAAGTATTTTGTGTGCAAAAGTTTACCAATAAATCGTGACACAGCAAAACTTTTCCTTTTCTCTTGTACCAGGCAGCTATTCTCGGAAAGCTCACAGAGGTATTTGTTGCGTTTTAGGGCTGTTGGCTGGTAGACATCAGTTCTATTTTTTAAGCATTGGTTGGATGTCCTGTGTTTGGTATGCAAAAGTAATATTTAGATGACCTGTTGGACCTGAACTCGTTGGCCTTTCCACAAAGACAAAGTACCCCCATGTTTTGAATTTAACCAATCATTACTTTGTAGTTGGAAAAGTTGTTTTCTAAACGTGTCTATCCTCTTATCTCAGGCAGTCTTTCCTGATGTTTTTCCTCTCATTTTTATTTATCTTCTAGACTCGTCAGCCAGTATTTGTGCAGCTGCTTCAGGGAGTCTTCAGAGTATACCACTGCAACTGGCTCAACCCTGTTCAGAAGGCCTCAGTCGAGGCTTGTATTAAAGTACTCTCAGACGTGGGTAAGCAGCAAGCTAACACTGACTGCTGATTTCTGTGTAAGCTCTTAGTGTTAGTATTGGTAATGGTAAAACTAGCACATTTATTTTCCAGCAAAGAGCAGAGCAATTGCCATCCCCGTGGATCTCGACAGTCAAGTGAATAACTTGTTTGTGAAGTCCAATAACGTTGTGCAGAAGAGCATTCTCAACTGGAGACTATCAGCCAAGAATACCTCCAGACGAGACTCTAGCCTGTGTACCTCTAAAGACTATAGAAACATCATTGAGAGGCTGCAGGTTGGTAGCTCCACTTGTTTTGGTTTTACTCTTTTATGCATCATTTTTTTATCTAACCAGACGTCTCAACTAACAGTAACCCAGTGAAAATAAGAAGACGTAATTGAAAATTGAAGAGAAAAAAAAAATCATCAATGCAAAAGCAGGGTAAAGGTAAAGACCTAGCCAACATTTTTCAGTCAGATCATCTGGACAGTTTCTTTTTTTTGTGCTGAAACGTTTCACCTTCAATCCGGAAGGCTTCATCAGTCAAGGAAACACACAACAAAACTGATTCTTCCCCCAACAGCTTACTCCAAAGTGGATCAAACCAGTTATGTCGGTGCTAAGATGGTCTCTTTGGCACGCCCCCTCCTCCATTGCCGTCCCTCTTCCTTGTTGACAGCCGTGTCAAACTGGTTGAACACAACAAAGTCCTTGCTCAAGGGTGGGTGGAGGGGGGGGGGGGTGCCAAAGAGCCCATCTTAGCACCAACATAACTGGTTTGTTCCACTTTGGAGTAAGCTGTTGGGGAAAGAATCAGTTTTGTTGTGTGTTTCCTTGACTGATGAAGCCTTCCGGATTGAAGGCGAAACGTTTCAGCACAAAAAGAGAAACTGTCTAGATGATCTGACTGAAAAATGTTGGATTGTACAGGTCCTTCTCAAAAAATTAGCATATTGTGATAAAGGTCATTATTTTCCATAATGTAATGATAAATATGAAACTTTCATATATTTCAGATTCATTGCACACCAACTGAAATATTTCAGGTCTTTAATTGTTTTAATACTGATGAGTATGGCATACAGCTCATGAAAACCCAAAATGCCTGTTCCAAAAAATTAGCATATTTCATCCCACCAATGAAAAACAAGTGATTTTTATACAAAAAATGCCAACCTTCAAATAATCATGTTCAGTTATGCACTCAATACTTGGTCGGGAATCCTTTTGCATGAATGTCTGCTTCAATGCGGCGTGGCATGGATGCAATCAGCCTGTGGCACTGCTGAGGTGTTATGGAGGCCCAGGATGCTTCGATAGCGGCCTTAAGCTCATCCAGAGTGTTGGGTCTTGCGTCTCTCAACTTTCTCTTCACAATATCCCACAGGTTCTCTATGGGGTTCAGGTCAGGAGAGTTGGCAGGCCAATTGAGCACAGTAATACCATGGTCAGTAAACCATTTACCAGTGGTTTTGGCACTGTGAGCAGGTGCCAGGTCGTGCTGAAAAATGAAATCTTCATCTCCATAAAGCTTTTCAGCAGATGGAAGCATGAGGTGCTCCAAAATCTCCTGATAGCTAGCTGCATTGACCCTGCCCTTGATAAAACACAGTGGACCAACACCAGCAGCTGACATGGCACCCCAGACCATCACTGACTGTGGGTGCTTCACACTGGACTTCTGGCATTTTGGCATTTCCTTCTCCCCAGTCTTCCTCCAGACTCTGGCACCTTGATTTCCGAATGACATGCAAAATTTGCTTTCATCCGAAAAAAGTACTTTGGACCACTGAGCAACAGTCCAGTGCTGCTTCTCTGTAGCCCAGGTCAGGCGCTTCTGCCGCTGTTTCTGGTTCAAAAGTGGCTTGACCTGGGGAATGCGGCACCTGTAGCCCATTTCCTGCACATGTCTGTGCATGGTGGCTCTGGATGTTTCTACGCCAGACTCAGTCCACTGCTTCCGCAGGTCCCCCAAGGTCTGGAATCGGCCCTTCTCCACAATCCTCCTCAGGGATCCGGTCACCTCTTTTCGTTGTGCAGCGTTTTCTGCCACACTTTTCCCTTCGCACAGACTTCCCACTGAGGTGCCTTGATACAGCACTCTGGGAACAGCCTATTCGTTCAGCAATTTCTTTCTGTGTCTTACCCTCTTGCTTGAGGGTGTCAATAATGGCCTTCTGGACAGCAGTCAGGTCGGCAGTCTTACCCATGATTGCGGTTTTGAGTAATGAACAAGGCTGGGAGTTTTTAAAAGCCTCAGGAATCTTTTGCAGGTGTTTAGAGTTACGTCGTTGATTCAGATGGTTAGGTTAATAGCTTGTTTAGAGAACCTTTTCATGATATGCTAATTTTTTGAGACAGGCATTTTGGGTTTTCATGAGCTGTATGCCATAATCATCAGTATTAAAACAATTAAAGACCTGAAATATTTCAGTTGGTTTGCAATGAATCTGAAATATATGAAAGTTTCATATTTATCATTACATTATGGAAAATAATGACCTTTATCACAATATGCTATTTTTTTAGAAGGACCTGTATACCTGGATTATTGAGCATGGACTATTTTGTTATAAAGACGTAGCATTTCGTAAAAAGATGCACATGGCCTGCTGCCTTTTGTCTCACTTTTAAACTAAGATAATTTTAGAATGGGACATGACAAAGTTAGAATTGATTTGGTTTTTGTAAATTAAATTAAATCAAATTTAATGCAATATTGTGTACTGTGCTCAAAGTATATGTTGTGGGTTGAGTTTTATTTGCTACCTCAGAACATTTTACCTTCATATCTTTCAAACTGACTTAGTTCTAGTCATTCTTTTACGCCCGTCAGGTGGACATATTACAGAATAGTCTCAATACAGCCAACTTTCTCTTGTCCCACCCTTAAGTCGTGACCTGCTCCAGAAAATTTAATAAAACTTCATCCACATATTCATCATCACTGGATGGAGTGTCATATACATTTTTCATCACCCAGCTCCAAGTCAAGATCACAAATAAAGGTCAGAGATTATATATGCTCTTTGCTTGTTCCAGCCATTGCTATATATTGCTGTATTACTGTGTACTACGGTAGTTTGTTGATGGGTAAATGATGCACCATATGCTGTACACTTGTTGAAAAATGGGTATTAGCTGTGGTGGACGTTTTGAATGATGTGACTCCAAATGTTAGAGTTTTAGATGCACATCAAATACTACTTCCATTTCATTGAAATCTGTCCAATGGTTCATGAGACACTTCAGTAATATGACACACAAACAAACACACAGGCAACAGGAAAACGTGATTGTTCTTTCGCTTGCAGAGACATGCGATAACAATAGTGAGACTTAACGTTAATGATGTTTACTGATCAAAGAGCAGCTTTAATAAAACACAATGCTTGATACCTTAAACTAGTAGTTCTTTATTAGAGGTTTTCTGTGTTTAAAAACCTGAACAGTTGATGGAGGAGATGAGGCAGTTATGTGCTATTTTAAGCTCCATTATCTTTAAGATCTTTAAGACGGGAAAATACTGCAATCTATTTATCTGTCAGCACAACTGGAGTGCTGTAACAAATACTCTAAATAACCAAATTCAGAACATGCACATGCAGCGCTTTAGTTTTTGTTTTGATCAGTAAATAGAAGTCACACTGTCAATTGTGTTTATACTAATTAGTTATATGTAAAAAAAAAAAAAGTTGCATAAATGTAAAATGGTTTGTTTGACTTGCATAGGTTAATTAGGTCTCTGTACCAAAGTCGTTTCTGCTGGCAATGTACCAAGAGTGATGTAATGCTTTTGGTAAACACTAGGCATACACAGTTCTTCAGAAGCCGTTTGTAATGTTATCCATTAAAACGTGTTTGCACTAAAAAGAAAAGTTGCTTCACCCCCCATTCTTGTAACACATGACTCAGTTTTTACTGGAAGTCTGTAAAATCACTGACCTGCCTGATTTTAGTTCACTTGTTATTTTAACACACAGAAAACACTGGCTTGGGAAGACATGCTCAGTTTGTTCTAAATAAAACAAGTTATTTGGTGACACACTTTCTATATAATCTTCTCATAGATTTAAATGTAGATTTTTTATTTTTTATTTTTTATTTTACTGACTTCCTCCCTGGACAAAGCATATCAGGATTCCCCCAGTTGTTGTTTTCTCCTTTATCTTTGTACTTCACTGCTTTCTGTTTTCTGATGCTTTGTGTTATCTTTATCAGACATCTCTTCATGAAGCCACCAAACCAGCTTTTGTCATAATGAAACCTTTTTTTTTTATTATTATGAGCCAACTTGACTGAAAGTGTTGAGAGAAACAACTTAATGGTAGATCATGTGAAATAAAATCTCTTCTTTCTCTTCTGTTATTTATTTACAAAAATCACAAATAAGTAATTGTTAAAACTATTTTGGTCTACATAAAATGTGCTTGTATTGTTATTTTATCAAAATAAGTCTACCTTGAATGATTTTGATATTTGAAAAATAAGACTTTAAATTCAGAATAACACTGACATAAAAAAAAAAAAACATTAACAAAAATTGTCACGTAAAATGGTGTTTTACACTTTTACGTCAATTTGCAGGGACAGCATCTTGAGCAGGGAGGCTCAGACATCTATTTTCACAGCCACCTCTTCCAAGGCATTCCCAGGACACCCTGGACATAGTCTCTCCATGGTGTCCTGGGTCTTCCTCAGGGTCTTTTTCCAGTTGGATATCCACCAATTCTATATTTCCATTTCTTGTTTGTTTCACACTATTTTTTACTTCTTTAAAATGGAGATGACAAATAAAAAAGCCCCAAATTATTTTAAATTCCAGGTTGTACAGCAACAACAAAGCAAAGAGAATACAGAGGAGGAGAATATTTTTAAACCATGTATTATTGGTTTTGATATAAAAACCAGACTTGTATTTTCATTAAAACATTTAAGAGTAGAACTTTCCCTACTTTCAAGTTTTGTTCAACATGCAAACATAGAGATTAAAACTGACGAGAAGCATGTCAACCTCTTATTCAATGATTTTCTGTTCAGACAAATGTCTTGGGTTTCTTGTAATCTCTGGTTTTGTCACTCTGCTCTTCAGGACATAGTATCTGCCCTGGAGGACCGTTTGAGGCCGCTGGTCCAAGCTGAGCTCTCAGTGCTGGTTGATGTCCTGCATCGACCGGAGCTGCTCTTCCCTGAAAACACAGAAGCTCGCAAGAAATGTGAAAGTGGAGGATTCATATCAAAGTGAGACTTCTGATGCTATTGATTTAATAGATTGACAAACTAAACATTCTTATTTAAAGAATTGTTTAATTTACAGTCATTTAGATGACTAACTCCAAAAGAAACTAGAACTGCAAGCAGTTATGACAGCGGTCAAAGCATGTCATCATGTCAACAGGAGACACGTCTGCTGTTGTGTGCTGTTTGTACTGACAGTTTTTGAGTGGCGGGGGGTAAACGGCTCAGCATGAGGGAAACTGAGCGCCCTTTGTAGCATTTAGCTAGCGCATCTGTATTGCGCACCGCTAGCTTAGTGCTACGTCAGTGCCGGCAGTTGTCGACGGGGTGTGTGTGTGTTGGGGGGGGTAGGCAGGGCACTCGGTTCTCGGCACCCTGCTTATGCAATGGTAGGGGAAACTTAAATATTTAAATATGTAAAATTAATTCACAACAAAATGTATTTTATCATTTCTGTGAAGCAGAGATATTTTCAATGAATGTTACTAAAGTTTTTTTTTTTCTAGCTTTATTTATTGCTCATGACAGACTTTATGGACGGAAGCCGTCACTTGTTGCAAATTAAGAAAATGCAGTTACATGCTTTTTGATCCTAAATAATCACGTCTGTTTTGAAAATATTAAATTTTTTGGTATAAAGAATATATAGTGAGCACCTGCAAAATCACAGTTCAGTTTGCTGAATCAGTTCAATTCAGTTTATTTAATTAGCGTCAAGTCACAACAGAAGTCATCTCAGGGCTCTGAACAGAAACATTCATATATATATACATATTTTAAATATCAGTCATCAGTCATTTGTAGATTTTTACCTTAGAACCTAAATAATAATTGATCACGAAAACTAGTGCAATTTCACCGAAATGCAAATATACCTTGCAATTTTTTTTAGTTCTTTTTTTTGGTGGTGTGGGGGGGGGGGGGGG